GATTAGACTTGATTCACAGCTGTAAACTACAAAGGTTATGATTTATACTTGACATGTATACACGATCATCACCCTTGACCTCTAATGAAAGTGTGTCATATGGCTTCAAATCAAGATAATGACTCTACTCTAACAAATTAGAGCTCTAGCACTTATTACAAAAACGATAAAGCTACTTCTTCTTAACCAAAATCACGGCAAAAAATGTAGGTGCAACTCATGAATAAAGGAAAAATACTCTAACATCATTTTGATCAAAGATCTCAACACTTTAGTGAAAGTTCCAAACTATCTATGCACATTTGAGTGAAACTACTTTTTTTTGAATTTCAATGGAGCTCTATCATCCAGTTCAATCAATAAAGAGTCACGTAAAATTTGTACGTCCAAGACAGATTTACATCGTCATTACAATCTGTTCAAGTAACATGTGGAGTATTATCTTGCAAAAAGTGCTGACATCTGTGAAGAAAAATAATCCAACTATAAAATTTGACTAAAAGTTCCTTTCAATAAGTTCATTTGGGGATGAACAATGAATTTGTGTTACAAGTAGTCATGAACAAGATGTACACGATAAACAAGAATGTAAAGACTACATGCACGCTTAAAAAGTAATTCAATTATATCACATCTGCATATAACCAGCAACATTTCGACAAATATTTCAACCTATGAAGATGGAGTAACATAATTTATGAAGAGAAGAAATAGATAATTAATCAATTACTGTGATTTTAGCTTTTACACTTGAGTATTGAAGTTCAAACTGCAAAGCATCAAAAAGTTTTGTGCACATGGGACATGATATAGTAACATCTACTGTGCTGCTTCCAAATGGCCGAGAGAGTGACAATTTTCTTGTACTCGGAGTTGAAGATCACAAAGTACTAGTAGAACAGCAAAAAAAATTCACTAACTTTACTCGCCCATGAACAGATATCCAAAATTGATTTTTGTTTTTCGAGAAGAATCACAAACTCAACTTCTAATTAGTTTAGACTTGTATTCCTCAACTCCTTCACCAAGATCAATGGATGCAACAATGATCAACTTTCATTGAAAACAGTGAGCAATGCTAAAAAACTATCTAGTCATTGCACATCATAAAAAAACACATAAAACTTCCAAGTATGAAACCTAGATTAACATGAAACAACTAAAGTATAATTGCAAATTGTTGCATGATGGAGTATACTATGGTACATGCTTTCAATCTTATGTAATGATCTAAAAGTAATGTAAAATAAATTATACAATGTCTACAAATATGCTGCACTGACTACAATTCAAAACATGGAAAATCACGTATTTCATAAAATTACCTGGCAAGTGTTTATAGTAAAGAATCATCTAAAAAGCAATGACTCCTCAAACAAGTCAACAAAAGATCGTATGATAATAGCAAATCTGCGCCTCAAGTATTCTTGATACCGACGATAGATAAAGCAAAAGTTGAGAACAAAAATCTATGGAAATTATTGAAAATCAAGAATCTATTATAACCATCTTTAGTTAGTTAGAGCTAAAGTAGAGGTTACTCTAAATATTGATATAGATACTTTAGTGTGCACTAGTCATAGCTGTCGCGTCAGCGATCCGCGCACTTGGTAGGTATAGAATGGATGTGTTAGTTGACAGTGCCACGTCAGCAATCCGTGTGCTTGTAGGTAAGGATTGAGTGTGTTAGTTGGGAGCACCACGTCAACAATCCGTGTGCTTGTTAGGGTTATCTACCACGTCATCTATCCATTAGGATTGGGATGGATGGTGGGGATAAGATCTTATCTCATTGTACTTGTTACTCAGAGCTATATAAGGGAGAAGAGAACCATTGTTGGTATCTCTCATCTTCAGAGTTTACGTTTCTATCTTCGAGTGAGCTTCTCTCTAAACCCTAGTGTTACATCTATGAATCAAGAGTGCGAATTTTTTTTAATGAGAGTGCTTTATTCCAAGCTCAATCGGTGAGCATTGGTGGAAACAATAACTGAGATTTGATGCAAATATAAGTCAAGAGTGTGACTTTTGAGTCGACAATCCATTACAATGTTGACATGTTTACGTTTGACAATTCATTACAGTCCTGACACGTTTAGGGCTAGACTTATCTTCCCCATTAATTGCTCCACCCACATTAATATAGATGTCAAAACACGTTGCATTTTAGATAATTTAGACGTCTTTGTATACGGTCGTCAAAAAAATCATGATTGATTATATGTAATCAAATATATAATTGTTGAGTCAAGATTGACAATGAATCAAATTGAATTAATTGATTGATCAAAATGATTAATTTGAATACATTAATTCTAGAGATATTATGTTATTATGCAAATTTTGCATAAAAATCACTTATACAATAAATTAGTTACTTCGCTAAATCAATACAAATTCTACCAAATATGATTTGATAATGAATTGATATTTATTTATATAAAATTTAATTTTTAATTAAAATAAAAAATTGCATAGTTGTTGTATTAGAGATTAAGATTGATCATTAATAAAATAAATTTAAAAAAACATCCCAAATTACTTCACAACTTTGTTAACTTTAATTGTATCGCTTATGATGAATTAAACTGTTTAAAAAAATTAATTACAATATATTTTGACATACATTTTATTTTTTGTGACCTGTACATTTGAATATCATTAGACTTAAAGTAGTGTTTTTATCAATTCATGTATTATTTTGATTAAGTATTGTGTAAATCTACTTTGTTTGTCATAAATTAGTCTATTACTACAAGAGTTGATCATAGCTACGAAGAACAAATATTTAAGGATGTTCTGTAAGATATTTGTGTTTTGTAAATATTATCTTGTATAGATAAAAAGTTGTTTTTTAAAGATCTGATAATTTTTCAAGAAAAATCTTTAACAGTGAATATGTTACATGAAAATAATGAGAATATGTAAGCTGAAAATTAAAATATGAATGAATTATGCATTGAATCCAACAATGATTGTGTTTTTCAAGTAATGAAAATGTCAATTTTACTTATGATTAGATTTGTATACGACCAATCTGAATTTCTGCTTTTGATCTTTTTATAAATCTAACATATACTTTTATACATAAGTTATTTATAAAAGTATATGTTAGATACCATTAGCATAAACACATCATTTTTTTCAATGATGTGTTTATGCTAATGGTATATCTATAACTCATTATATATTTTCGCTATATATTTTTTTATTGTTAGTTTAAGTTATTAAAATTCACGTAACATATTTTCAGCTTAATTTTCTTAACTATGAAATAATCCATGTGAAATATCAATTGTTATCACATAAACATAATTAAGTTTATCATCCAACTTTTGCTCTTCAAAAACATATTTTTTTATTTTTTATTTAAAATTTTTCAATAAAGTGTGATTTATCAAATATTGAGATGATATTTTTTAACGCATGAACACATTTTTCAAAATTTAGTTGAATGATATCTTTTATAAATAATGGATAAAAAATAAGAATTCCAATTTTTCACAAAAATTTGTAAATTTTTTTTATTGATAAAAATATTTTAAAATAAAATAATTGATGAGTGTTGAAAGTGAATTTTAATGAATCAAAAAATTAATTAAAATGACTTATAGATATACCATTAGCATAAACACATCATTTAAAAAAAACATATGTTAGATTGATAAAAGATCAAAAGCAGAAATTCGGATTGGTCAAATACAAATAAAATCATAAGTAAAATTGACAATTTTATTACTTGAACAACACAATCATTGTTCGATTACTAAAAAAAATTCAAAATATCACGTTAATATAAATATAATGATGTATACTCATTCAAATGTTAAAGTTTCAACAATTTGCAATTTCAAATGTATTATGTCAACACATAAGCAATATATTCATGATCAAATACTATATAAACACTAGTAAACAATTGACATGATAATAGTCGTGAAAAAATATCACTTATAGCATATAACTATCATCAAAGCGATGCACAAATCAGATTCAATCAAATGTGAATGCAAGGAATAAAGTGATTATTGCTTACAAAGACATTATGCATTGGAAATTCTGAAAATGCATAACACATTCTTATCATGTCTTCATGCCAAATCTATTACTATCGAATAAATATAAAGCTGTAAATAATCTGTCAGAAATTTATCAACATGTAGAACCTTCAAAAATCATCTAAATTTAAAATCTTTGCATCACCTCTGATCTTTCATCATCTAAATATAAAAACCTAATATTTCATATCAACGGACCAAGAGATAACCATTTTTAATATCCTTTTCCAGTTCCAGAACTCAACAACGTCGTTGATTGTATTCTCTGATTAGTGACGTTTTTTATTGCTTAGAGATGCATTGATATTGAATGCTTGTATATCAAAATTAATATGATACTGCATATATGTTAAGTTAATTTTTGTTTAGAAGTTTAAAAGCCTTTCTTGAGCAACGTGATAATGAGTATTTTTTAGATCATTTTTACGTTATTTTAAGAAACTCTTTCGTGAGGAAATTGATTATGTAGATAGATTCTTTCGTTCATTTTTGTAAGTGTTTTATATTTCATGAAGTTGAGAAGATATTTAAGCACATTATTTTGGATTTCATCGAATGTAAAATTGAACAGAATTTTGTTAATTTTAAGTTTGATCAATATCATAATGTTGATACAATTATTTATTCTTTTCACATTTTCAAGATATATAAAAATTTGATCACAAACTTGGAGGATTCAAAGGTGACTAAAGTGCGTAATTGCCCAAGTATCTGTTCTACTTGTCCTGCCATGTTGCACAGATCGGAATAATTGTTGCCAATTTGCTCGAAAAATCTAAAAAGTTATTTTCTCAACTTGTCTGCATGGTTCGTTCCACTTTGCAGACAGGATTGGAATTAGTAATGTTGAGTTAATGTACAATAAAGGTACTCTCCATTTGCAGTTCTATTTTTGGACATAAACCACGAACGCGAAAGCATCTTGCTTCCATTTGTTACGACGACGACAGAGGCTGTTGGCGGAGGACGAAGTCCTTGGAAGCGAAGCCAGAGAAAGGAACGAAGCAAAGAGAGGAGCGAGAGGGAAGCGAGAACGACGGTCTAGGTTTCGATTTGGATCGAGGGGAGCTGAGCTTGATTCGCGAGTGCTTGGTCTTCCCTCTGCGAAATCGATCCGCACTGGTAGAATACACTCGGTCCGGGCTTTCGATTGAGCCGTCGATTTGGGCACAAGAAGGGAGGCAGAATGTTGCGCCAGGTTGCAAACAGGGGACTGGCAGTGCTACGGGGAGCCGCTGCGTCTCAGCGAGCATGTGCAACTCGGGTGGTATCTGATAGGCCCCAGCAGGTGTGATTCGCATTTCCTTTCTTAGCCTTTTCGCCTGCGGATTGATTGATTGATTTATTGATCGATGGTGCTTTGGCACCTTACACTACCAGAATTGCGACTGGGAAGATTGTCGGCACTCGTTGAGATTTAAGGTCTGTTGCTTCTGCTCTCGCTGAGCTTCAATTTTTCCGCGTTAGCACCCGATCTGAGGTGTAGACAAGTCCTCGAAGTACTAAATTGATAAGATGGAAGGGCTGAAAGTTTCACGATTACTGTGTTTTGAGACAGATCCAGCAATTCGGAGTATTTTCACGCGAATATTCAACGGCATTGAATCTGGTGTGTGAGTATTTCTTGCGGTTGTTGTGAATGGTAGGGTTGTGTATCTGTTCAAATGAGCAGTAGCCCAGACATATGAAATGAGCCCAGCAGAGCGACGAGAAAATATTTTCTCTAATTAACCATACTCACGCGAAAACTTCGCATTTATTGTCTAAAGGTTTAGCTGGAACTAGCTTAGCTTGTTCTGTTATTATCCTGTACCGTTTACTGTTTTCCTATGGTTTCACATGAATTCACAGCGTTGATAAGCTGACAACTTAGTGTCCCTTAAGTGTCCAATTGACTTTGAATCTTGGCTTGTCCAATTGACTCATTGGCTTACATACTGCTTTGCAACTGGTGTATTCAGCACCGTAATACATCTGACAACAATCCAGATGTGCCATTCGAGTTCACGTCCGCCAACATGGAAAAGGTAGTGCTTTTTTCTTCTTGTCTTTTTTGCCTGAAAATTTCTGATTCAGCTCTCATACTTACATTGACAGCTACAGACCATTTTGGAGATAGTCATGTGGGGTTGTAAGTTTGGAGGTTCTATATTGTGATGGTTACAGTATAATTTGATTGTAATTAGCCGTAATGTGCTTTAGAAACATATGGTCCTTATTACGTTCTCTATGTAGCCATCAGGTTGTGGGTAACCAACCTTCACCGCATTTAGTCTCTCTGATTTACTCTCTTTCAGTTTTCTGAAACCCTCTGAAACCTACAGTTTTCATCCACTGGATTGCGTACATGTAGGTCAAAGAAATTCTTTCTCATTATCCAAAAAATTACAAGCAGTCAGGCATTATTCCACTCTTGGACCTTGCTCAACAGCAGAACGGCGGATGGTTGTCAATCAACTCAATGAATAAGGTACGACCGATGACAACGCATTGGCACTGTGTTTGTAAACTTAGGATTGCGACGGACGGGGAAGTATGGCAACCTCAGTTTTAAGCGTCACGCCCATGGTGATCATAATCCAGCTGATTTCGTCCAGCTCTGAGATCTGTTTAAAGATCGAAGGATGTATAGGTTGGAGTGGCGAAGAAGTTGTTTATGGTTGTGAATACAAACAAACGATCAAAAGAAACGTAATCTCTTGGATGTCTACTCTAGCGCATGTGCTTGACCTTTGAACTTGTTTTGCAGATCGCAGAAATAGTTGGCGTAGCTCCTATCAGGGTTTACGAGGTGGCGACCTTCTACAGCATGTTTAATCGTCAAAAGGTGACAGCTATCTATTTTTTTGTTGCAGTAACATCAGGAGATTCCGATGCAAGGATGAGTACATCCTTGAATCGGACAGTTGTAATAATTTCGAGTGTTTGTAATGTGAATTATCAGAGCTTGCATGTGTGAAGTAGGTTTTATCTGCAAGTAGGTTATGTATATCTATAATCAGTGTGTTATAGCATAGTCTATTTACGTATCCAGCATCACTTCAATTACGTTTGAATACAATCACCTGTGAGTTTCATTATACTTCAGCGTTTTTCAAATCCTTGAGACCTCGATTTCTTTCTGTTTGTAGGTGGGAACATATCATGTGATGGTTTGTGGTACAACTCCATGCATGCTGAGAGGTTCTCGCACCATCGAAGCTACGCTCTTGAAGCATCTCGGTGTCGAGCGTAACGGTAATAAGTTGCGGTTAAGGAAGATGAAACATGTCTTGTATTACTCACTTCATTTTTGTTTGGTTGACTCATACGCGTGTCGTCATCTACAGAGGTTACCAAGGATGGAAAGTTTTCTGTTGGTGAGATGGAATGCATGGTGAGTACACATTGTTCGTCCCTATATTCTGTTTTCTCTTTCCGTGGTAACTAACTAGGTTACCAATTGATGTACAGTCTGGGTACTGCTTTTTATCAACCTTATATTTGATATCGTCATGCGTTCAGGGATGCTGCGTGAATGCCCCTATGATAGTTGTTGCCGATTATTCCAACGGAGTTGAAGGATACTCATACAATTACTTCGTGAGTTCCGGTTATTACCCCAGACGCCTACCATGTCATTGAGACAGTCTGCCTTGTTCTTTGGGCCTGTATACGTGTTTGTTTCCATAACAGCGCTGAGGTATGACATCGTCACCCTTCTGAACAGGAGGATCTTACCCCGGAGCGCGTTGTGGAAGTAATAGAAGCCTACAGAAAGGGAGAGAAACCACCTGTAAGTTCTGTCAACCTCGATTATTTATCATTCTCATCTTGAGCGGGATGTCCTTCTTCTGATTACCAGAGCTACATAAGAGTCACTGAGTCAGCTACTGTTGGAAATCCCGTACTTGCACCGCAAGTGGTCTTTCTTTCTCCTGAACGTCCTGTCTGTATTTCACACGACAATTTTGCAGCATGGCACTCAACATCCTGAGCGCCTGAATTGCGGTCCTGCGGGAGGTCTGACTACCTTGCTTGGAGAGCCGAAACCACCACCTTGCCGGGACTTGGCAGCTTGCTGATTTTGTTATTTTCTTGTGGTGGACCTAACATCTTCTACCTGAGGACGATAAGTTGAAACATGTTCTCGTAGGCCTCGTTTTACTTATCATCAGTATGAAGATCGGACGAACTGGTAAACAAAGTTTGATCTCAGTTCAATTTCTCTCTTTTCAAGTCCAACATGGACTGCGGAAATTCGAAGTAGGTATCTTAAATTTGTTAGAAGGAAGAAAAAATAAAGTGTTCTAACTTGCACACAATATGCAGACGAAGTACAAACGAAATCAATATAGTGCCTTCCAGGTTGAAATAGTTTTTGTGCATTTTGGGATATAGGTTGTCTAATCATCGCACATCTTATCAAGGAGTTACATAAGCATTACTGGTGTGAGGTGAGATTTCCCAATTTTGTCGAGGGATAGGAAGGTACTGAGAAATAAGTTAAGTGAGGTTTTCTTTACCTTTGACCTCACACTTAAGTCTGGTGCTCGGTACCGTGATATTCGTGGAATTTTTTTGGTGCATTTATCTGGATACTTTTCTCGCGCAGTGATTTGTTTTTGTAGAAACTCTGGGTTGTGCTGTAGATGGGTTCTTTTTCCTTTATATGGGAAACCTTTTCGGATGGACGTTTCGTGATTAGCGTTTCAGTCAGTGCGCAACTGTCTATAAGAGGTCGTGTCTTTTCCAATCGATGTTTTCCTTTCTGGTTGGTTCCATCGGATTTTTGGATTTATTGTGTACTCATGCATGTTCATAGAAGGAATGTGCTGTAATTTGACCATGGACTTTAATAGCTTCTGATCAGTTCGTTATGGGTTTCTTCACTCTTCTGATTTGTCTGTGCTCTTACTTGGCTCAACTTTTAATCTTTCTTCATCTTGTGCTTGGGTGCTGCTGTTTTGCGTCGCTCTCACTGAATGGTACCAGAGGATCTGATTCGTAGAACTTCATGAAATGAAAAATGACTTCAAGCAGCTTAGTACTTCACGCAGGGAAATGTGGAGCCTTCTTACGCTTATGCGGGAGCCATCTCACAAATTTTTTGACTCGCATACGTCCAGTGTTCACTTGCGGGGATCACCGGAGTCTTTGGCACTTGTTGTGGATCGGTAATTTGTGCATCCACTAATTTTCATAGGGAAGAAGAGTATTATTGAATTTGAATATTAAGAACAATTTTACACCAATCGGTATTATTCCCACAATGATGATTATATCTTGTACGGTACAATCCTCGTCTTCTTTGAGGAAATGTTTTGAAGAATTGTATTTACAAATCAAGGATATAGACTGTCAAAATGAGAATGAGAAATAATGAATATAAATAAACAGTTTTTAATGCAGAGCGTCTACAGAGATGTATAAATTTGAAATCAATAATTAGTCTTCTTGAAACACGAGAAAAGCTGAGAAATCTTCCTGATGTTACACATATAAGATATAAAAACAAGTCAAAGCTGATTAACTATACCTATTTTACTACTGTGACAATTTACTTGATATGGGAGTCCGAAAAACTAATGGTTTTTAAGAAAACCACTGTAACTACAAGTTACTTGATATGGGAGTCCGATAAAAATTACTTTAAAAGAAAACTATTGATTCGAGAAAATAAAGTATGTTTTTTTAAATTAAGTAATTATTTATTTTAGAATTTAAGATATATTACGTATATAATATTTATAGGTTATTCCATGTGAATTAAAGATTAATTAAAAAGATTCAAATTGGTTGCGCAAATCAAGGAGATCAAGAAATAAATTTTGATTCAAAATTCTTGATAATATGTTATATATGATTAAAAAAATTTGAATAATTGATGTTTAATTTGTTTACAATGTCTGCGCGTTAGTTGATGAAAAGTATGAAAGTGCAAGATGATGATGTGAATTAAAAAAAAAAAAAAAATACTGTTGGCTTATTGTGATGAAAATTGCACATTTTAGTAAAACATGGTATATGAGATTAAAGTATTGTGCTGAAAAATACACCAAGAATAAGTGATTGCAAACTTTTGGTTAAACAGGTAACAAAAACTTTGAATCATTATTAGAAAAATACAAGGATAAAATAATTATAAAAATAAACACTGATGAGTGTATTTATGATATTTAGTCCATGAAAACATTTGACATTCAATTGATTCAAGATAAAAATAACTAAAAGTTTAAATCGTTTAATTAAGATTATGCTTGACAAAGTGTTTTGCTTTGTCAAGCAAAACTAAGATATTCATAGATGTGTTTGTTTGTGAGATCATCAGAGTGAAATGAGGAGTTATTTTATTCAAGATAAATTCCAGGTTATCCTACTATGTCAAAGTATACTCAAATGAAAATGACACTAAAAACCATCATTGCAATAAATCTATCATTCAATTTTTTATTCTGTTTAGAAAATGAAGATGATGCAAATCTATTTTTTTCAACTTTGAACTAGATGTTTGGATTTTGTGTGTTCATAAATTAAAAAATATAATATATGTAGATAAGTAAGTTTTTTAAGAAATGATTACTCCGAACTAAAACTAACACTACAAGATGAATGATAACAAAAACTAACATTAGTAATTTTTCATTAGAAAAAGAGAAATCATGATATAGCAATCTGAAATGATAAAATTTAAATAATATTAGATTAGAATATGTAAAACAATATAACCGCAAGTCAACAAAAAATAAAAAATTGAAGCAATTAGTAAGAAAAAAAACTTCTTATTTCATTATGTTGATTGAACAAAGTCTAATTACAGATAATTTGATGTGATTGATATGAATCAATTAAAAATATTGTTAGAAACAATGTATTATTATATAAATTTTAAAATCAAAAGCACAAAACGGTATTAATTTCTGAACTAAAATTTGCAAATATGCAAGTATATTGTGAAAAATATAATTAAATGATAGATGGAAGTGGATGAATTGATTATAGAGTTTATTGTTAATATGCGTAAAATCTATCAGGTATATTTATGTAACCTTTTGTAAGCATAAATAGTAGTTTCGATGTATATGAAAAAAATAAGAGTTGAGAGTTTTCCTATATGTATGCATTTATGATTAGAATGTATGTTGTTAGTATGAGCACATATTTATATTTTTGTATATACATATAAATAATGTAAGTCCACCGCAACCAGAATCACACACTGATGTACGTGATTCCCCTTCACATGACCCTATGTTCACATCCGAGATAAAAGCTTCACTAAAGCAAGAATATGAGGTGATGCCTCTATAGTCAAACTCTCGATTATTTCTCTTTGTAACGTGTAAATGTGAAATCGAACTGAAATGTGCTCATCCTTACCTTAAGTACATGAACGAGTTGTAACTAACTTGAATGCTAACTAGTTCTAACCCTAATTAGAGGTCAAGCCTAACTACAATTATCAGGACGCGGATTAAACTTACAAACTACTCTTCAATCCAAATCTTGAAGGAGTTAGTTACTACTATGCATACATGGTTTTATAGTGAAGTTCTAAAAGCTAAATCTAATTCATATCTCTCTCTTATGAACAAGTGTTAACTAGAACTAAGCCGCATCTAACAACATGTGAGAACGAAACTTCGCATCTGAAAATTATCATGCAATCTAACTCACCAATGCAAAATTGCAAGGTGTTTTGAACATTTATTCAAAAGAATCATTTTTGTAAAACCATAGTCTGGTTAATTTCTCCATCACTATTGATGAATTTAAGCATGTTTTTAGACACAACTGATTTAATATTAAGCAGATATGGTAACTTGGTCTTTGAGGTGGAATGTGACAAACCGCAATTGAGACTTGCAACCTATGGTACTCCACGAACATCTACAGAAGCAATTTCTTAATATTATTTGGAGCAAGCGAGACATCAAGATGTAGTTTAATCAATTTCATATGAATCCTATACTTGTTCATTGGAAACAGTAATACCTAACTACAAGAATCTCGAGGTACTTTTGTCATATCATTGCTAGTCATAGAATTGGATCTCATAAGCTTGGAATTAAATAAGTACGTTGGTTTAATATTGATAGAAGTGAACGTATTTGTAATTTATGTGACGATGAGTATATTGAGGATGAAGAGCATGTATTTGTTATTTGTTTTAGATAGGAAAACATTATTTTTTGTTCATGATATTGATGTGAAGATTTTTTATTAACATTAATTCCTTTATATTTAGATTTTTATATTAGATACATCATTAGTCACAATTCTAATACTTTTGACATTAGTTAGAAATTGATTTTTGGGATATTTTGACTTGTTTTTGATTTTTTTTTAAATAGATCATTTCAACCTTTGATCATTTGGATCTTCCGAGCTTGATATGTTATCATTTAACTATGTTCTTTAGAAGAATTATATTCCAAATAACATTTTACTATATGTTAATGTTATACTAAATATTTATTATTATTGGAGAAGCTTGGCATGCAAATCTCTTATCAGTTTCTTTGTGGAATTTTGAAAACAATTCCTTATTCGGAATGAGTTGATCAAAACTTGAAGATTCTTGTTGAACAACGCCTCGTGTGGAAAAACTTTTCAGTCAACTAACGAGTTCATAGTTCCTTCGAGTTGGGAATCTAGATAAGGAATTTAGCTCGTAAAGGCTATGGACAGGATTCCGACTTTATTTATACAATTTCAGACCTTTGAATTCGTGTCATTAAAGGCGAATCCAGATTCGGTATGATCCCGATAGTCTTCTACATTTCGAGGCACTCTGCAGAATGTTGTTTATTGGAGATGTGAAGTATGATATATAACAAATAACTGTAAGGATCTCTAGAAAGCGTTAAGTTAGATTTAACCGTCAACAAATTACCGTCCGATCGTTAGTCATGGTTAGGGTTAGATTGGAATGATCCCAAAAAACTCATTGACAGATTTGTCGTAAAATGTTAACTCTGTCGGAGTAGATGAAAGTCAAACAAACAGCAGATTCAGAGAGCACCCATTCTTCGCTATATGCATCACTGTAAGTTGTGAGTGTATATATGGCATTTGATTGTCGTTCTACTGCGAAAAGAATAGGACTGAAATGTCAATACCAAGATTAGAAGGTAAGATGGTCTGAAATGTGAATAACAGAGCTGACTTCTATTCTGGTTCTCTCTAAGTTAATCATGATAGACCGTCGATCGTGGAGAGAGTTGTGATCTGTGTTCAAAGCAGTCTAGCAGTTTCAACGTAAGAGAGGGGTGACCAAAATCACAGATATAATTTCCTGGAGAGCCTTGTCATTCCACTGTGAGCTTTTCAAGGGTGTACGATTTACAGAATCCAAGGAGAGGACCTGTGTCGTTGCATACAAACCTTTTCTTACCTTGTTGACACCAAAAGGGTCAGCTTGAGGATAGATGCGTCTTTCCTTTTTCTGTTATCAAAGGAAAGCGTGTTTCTTTCTCTTTTTCCTGTTGAAAAACCATCTAAGAATGTTTGTTGGATCGGACTTTTATATGAGCTGCAGTGCATAAAGCCTTGATCCATCCATCCGACAGAATTGCTTTGAGGCTGCTTCCTCGCTTGTTGGCAAGATGAGCTTTCAAGGGCATGAGGGCCTGGGACCTATTGTCAATG